GCTGTGCGAACTGCAGAGTCTGTGCGCGCGTCGCTGCAAAGGAAAATCAAAATCTACTGCGCAGTCGCTAGGCTAAGGTATTAATGTCCCAGGCACAGCTAGAAGGTGGAGAAACCTATTATGTTGGTGATTGTTGTGGTTGTTGTGGTTTTATTGTCGTGGTCTGCGGGCGCAGGCTTGTCGCTAGGGTGCGAACTGCAGAGCCTGTGCGCGTTTCCTGGCAAAAGGAATAATAAAATCAACAGCGCTGTCGCTGCGCTAGAGAATTAATGCCATGAGCACAGCTAGGAAGTAGAGAGCTGTGTTGTTGGTTATGGTTGTTGTTGTGGTCGCTGGGTTAGGTGGTGGTCTGCGGGCGGGGCGCTGGTAGCTGGTGCGGCAATGCGCGCGCGCGATGCCTGCGTGCGCAGGAAAATTAAAATCCACCGCGCAGTTAGGGTTGCGGCAAAACACCACCACATCTGTACATTTTTGCAAAAAAAACACTAGCGGGGGTAAGTTTAAGTTAAAGCCTAAAAGTTTGCCTACTATTATAATAGGATCTAGGCACAGGATGGGGGACGGATTCCAGGGGTTCTGTTTAACGGATTCTAGTCGTTCGCTGCTCGCTTAGGCGACGCGCTAAACAGAATAAGGAAGTTAGGGTTGCAAAAAGCTAGCAATCTGTGGCCATATGTTAGATAATATTTTATATAATACTTTTTATACTATACTTACTTCTATTTATATTATGTATATTTCTTCTAACTTTATATCTTTTTATATTATGTTTTTTTTACACTATACTTTTTTCTATACTCTTTCTTTTATACTTTTCTATATTATGTTTTATTTTATAATATTTTTTTAACTTTTTTAATACTATATATTTCTTTTTACTATATTTTTTTTTATACTATATTTTTTTATGCTACTATTTTATCTATACTTACTTTTATTTACTTTTTTACTTATATTTATTTTTATTTTATTTTTATATTATACTTTTTTTCTACTATTTTCTATTTATAACTTAATTTTTTTATTTTATATATTTTATCTTTTATTTCTCTTTATGCTATGCTTATATATAATACTTTTTTTATATACTTTCTTTATACTTTAGTTTTTTTTCTTACTTATATTTTTTAATATACTTTATATATTTTATATAATGCTTTTTTCTATTCTATACTTTTTCTCTACTATCTTTTTACTATATTTTTTATATACTATATTTTCTATTTACTATGTTTTTATTTATACTATGCTTTATTTCTCTACTATATTTTTTTTATACTATGTTTTCTTTTAAACTACATTTTTATTTTACTTTTTTCTATTTACTATATTTTTCTTTTTACTATTATAATACTATTATTTATACTATATTCTTTTTTACACTGTATACTATTATATTATACTAACTTTTTTTTTTTACTTTACTACTTTACTTATATTTCTTTTTATGTTATCTTTTTTTTATACTATATTTTTCTTTATACTATATACTTTTATATACTTTTATACTATTTATATGTTTATTTATTTACTTTACTTTTTTATTTATATTTTTTTTTATATAATATTTTTTTACTCTAAACTTTTTTTTTACTATAACTTTTTAATATAATCTTTTATAAACTATATTATATTTTATGCTATGTTTCTAACTCTAACTCTAATTACCTACACTATAGTACTTTCCTCTACTATGTTTTTCTTTACTACATCTTTCTCTAACTTTTTTAATAATATTTTTTATTACACTATGTTTTTCTTTACACTATACTTACTTCTTTTTACTAAACTTATATTTCTTTCTATACTATATTTCTTTTTATACTATTCTTTTTTCTTACTATATTATACTATATCTTTTTATATTATGTTTTTCTTTATGCTATACTTTTTTTATATTTAACTTTTTTAATACTTTATATTTCTTTATACTATACCTTTTTTTTATACTTTATAATTCTTTATACTATATTTTTTTTTTTTTACTTACTTTTATTTACTTTACTTCTTTACTTATATTTATTTTTATTTTTTTATACTATGCTTTTTACTACTATATTTTATTTATAACTTTATTT